TTACCGTTATTTTTTCCGTTGAGAAGTGCAGCTCTGAGATCCGCTAGCTCCGAGATCCGTCTGGCAGTCAGCTAGCTTCCAGGTTACGGTTTAACTAAGTAGAAAGAAAAACCTTGAATAATGTCACCAAGATCTTTAACTATGTCATCATAATCCTCATATCTAGATATATGGCAAAAAGAAGGATCAGTAGAATTTGAATTATAGGAATAAACTGTTTAAATTTTTTATTTATCACAATAAAATCTTTAAATCTTGGGTTATAACCATCAAATATTTAAATCTATACTTTTTGTTGTTGATTTTTAAGAGAATTCGCCCATCATGCAATCAATTAATCAATTTTCTCGTTTAGGTTAGACCAAGGTTAGGTATACTTCAAAAGGTAGATGGTGATAAATGCTTTAAGTATGAGTATTTCAAAGATATATCAATTAATCAATCAATTAATCAATCAATAAACCAATTAATCGACTGTCATCTGACCTTAGTTTAAGTTATTTTTTACCATTCAATACACATGTAGAGCGGTTTTTCAGATAACTTAGCAGGTTGAAATTAGTAAATATCTTTTTTACCGTAGTCTACTTCCGGAGAAAGTTATAAAGATGATGCATGCAATAAAAATAAATCGGAATAATTTATTAAGATGTATGATGTATTCTAAATATTGAAAAAAAGAAGAATTTTTTCAGAGAGATCCTGGACGAAGGCTGAAGGAAAAAGGTGTATATCAATGGTCTATGACATTAGATTGTAAATATTTTTTGATAAGAAAATTATGATTTTTAGCGAGCGTTCAGTTTCTTTGTATCTTGTAAGCCTGTGTTCTGTATCCAGGATCATATGTAACCTTCTGTATTCTGAATCCTGTATTCTGTATCCTGTATTCTGTATCCTGTATTCTGTATCCTGTATTCTGTATCCTGTATTCTGTATCCTGTATTCTGTATCCTGTATTCTTCAATTTAGTAAAGAATTTTTTCATGGGATTCAATATAAAACATGGTAAAACTCTTTCTTTTCTTCTTCCAAAAAAAAGGAAAGAATATCGGAATAAATTCGACTCTAAGGATTTATTATGTTTTACTGTTTTTTCCTTTGTTATGATTTTGGTTTGTTTTTGTTTTGATTTTGGTTTGATTTTAGTTTGATTTTGTTTTGATTTTGGTTTGATTTTGTTTTGATTTTGGTTTGATTTTGGTTTGATTTTGGTTTGATTTTGGTTTGATTTTGGTTTGATTTTGTTTTGATTTTGGTTTGTTTTTGTTTTGATTTTGGTTTGATTTTGGGTTGATTTTGGTTTGATTTTGGTTTGATTTTGTTTTGATTTTGGTTTGTTTTTGGTTTGATTTCGGTTTGCTTTTGTTTTGATTTTGTTTTGATTTCGTTTTGATTTTGTTTTGATTTTGATTCTTGATGCCACATTATTTTTGCTGTATTATGTTCATTACTAACCAAAGAGAATAGAATAAATATTAGAGTGGAATTTAGACAATCCTTCAGTATGCATTTTGTCAGTCCTTTTCAGCCTGAAAGGGAGTTCAAAGTGTACAAATCATGTTCACAAATTATATGCAGTAGAGTACATTATTACAGTTCCCTAGACTTTCCATTTCAATCTCGAATTTTTAAAGCTGTTAAATAAACTTTATAAAAGCCTATTTCATAATTTGGTTTTCTTTTAATGTTAATTTTAGATTTTCTATAAAATGATGTTCCAGAGCCCAAAAGGTTATATAGCATAAATATGTGAAGTACACCTGCAGTATGGAAACAGTACAACAAAATGGCCGTTTTACACTGTTAATTCCCCTCTAATATATATTCTATTCTCTTTGTTACTAACAGAATTAACCGGGGTTGTCTGCAGCCCATCCCACCATGTCACCAAGGGGGGAAATGAGACATTTGTACAGTTTACTAATGAAGTCCGGATCTAATAAATTGTAAATGGACCGGATTTAATGGTTTGTGAATAGACCGGATTTAACGAATTGTGAATGGACCTGATTTAATGAATTGAGGATGGACCGAATCCGGATCTAATGAATTGGGAATAGAACGGATTTAATTAATTGTGAATAGACCGGATTTTATTAATTGCGAATGGACCGGATTTAATTAATTGTGAATAGACCGGAAAATGGTCGAATCTGTGACACTAATGGTAGAATCTGCGACATTAATGGTCGAATCTGCGGCATTAATGGTCGAATCTGTGACATTAATGGTCGAATCTGCAACATTAATGGTCAATTTAAGAAAATTTATTCTGTTACGTATCATACTTTCAAAAAAATTTTCTTCTTCTTATTTAGCTCTAGAATAAGTTAGGTTATGATTAAAACATAAAAGATTTCAAGCTTGCATGAACTATATTGTAGCTTTTAACGTGGGGGTCAAGAATTATATTAGATTTTTAAATACTTGACAATATGAAAAATCGAAGGAAAAAACTAGTAACCTGCGGCTAAAGACTAGTTTTTAAATAAAAAGGAGAAATACATACAACATATTTACTATAATTTGAGTAACTGGACAAGAATGGATCAAAGATGTTTAATTATTAAAACCTAGACGAATACAAGTATTAAGTATAGACTTTTTTAATTAATTCCTTGTTAATTACTATTCTATGTTTAATAATTAACAATCCCCCCATTACTGATAGCTAGCAAGGGGTTTAGACCATTTGTTAAATAAAGGGACTATACACATAATTTCAAGTGTACCCCNTTGCATGATCCGAACCTGTGCAAGGATTGTCTGGTATAATGTTTATGGGTACCAGCCCGTCTAGCCTACCTGCAGTATGTGGTTGACCCAGCCCGTATAGTGTACGTGCAGTATGTGTGGTTGACCCAGTCCGTCTAGTGTACCTGCAGTATGTGGTTGACCCAGCCCGTCAAGTAAACCTGCTGTATGTGGTTGACCCAGCCCGTCTAGTATACCTGCAGTATGTGGTTGACCCAGCCCGTCTAGTGTACCTGCAGTATGTGGTTGACCCAGCCCGTCAAGTATACCTGCAGTATGCGGTTGACCCAACCCATCTAGTGTACCTGCAGTATGTATTTGACCCAGCCCGTTTAGTGTACCTGCAGTATGTGGTTGACCCAGCCCGTCAAGTTTACCTGCAGTATGTGGTTGACCCAACCCATCTAGTGTACCTGCAGTATGTATTTGACCCAGCCCGTCTAGTGTACCTACAGTATGTACAGGTTGACCCAGCGCGATTTATGCAACAGAATTAAACGGACGAAACTTTAGTGAATTGTTAACTCTTGGTCTGGGTTATAAAAGAAAAATATCGTAGTTTTACTCTCGGAAAACGGTTTTGCATTAGTAAAATTTTATCTGCTGCATAAGTCCACAAGGCAATTTTCAAATATTAAAATAATAATCTCTACTGAGATAAAGGTTTACAGATTACAATAATAAAAGCTGCTTGAGATAACGTCGACGGTTCCATTAAATAAATACAAAGCATTTATCTTTATTTGCTATAACTTGTCATATCTGACCTTCATCACTCAATCATATTAATAGAAATGTTGGACTTTTTTCTCATGCTTTCTCTAAACTAAAATTGAATTTTAAAGCTCTTTCCATGTCGGGGAAGGGGATGACTTTTAAATTGATGAGGGTGGTTGCCGTTATAAGGTTGAACGTGTTGTAACTTATGACATTTTTGTCAATGTATATCTCATTATGAAAATACAATTTGTATTAAATTACTACACTATAATTATAAATATGAATAATGAAAGATAATTGTTTTTTATAATCAGCGGGCAAGGCATGAAATGTATCCAGGTATAAAAATTTTAAAGCAAAAATGTTAATAATATTTTAACAGAAAATTACTCATGAACATTTTATTTGACAAATTCATGGTCTTCCTCTCATCTTGCCAAGTAAATCGTTTTCTTCTACTCATTAGTTTAGAATTCAAAATAACTTGTTTCTTGACATGTTAGTCATGGTCTTCCTCTCATCTTGTCAAGTATATCATTTTCTTCTACTCATTAGTTTAGAATTCAAAAAATAATTAAACCAAATTTAGCTGCAATGAAATTGTCTATCCTTGCAGGTTCGTGAATACTGACTGGGTCGACTTTAAAGTGTCACAACGCCTTGACCACTGTTATTAGTACCTCATATATTCATTTTAACTTTTTTGTAGGTTTATGAACAACTATAGCTTGGGAACTCGGCGCTGCCAAGGTTCATAAAAGTTACTTCAGTCGTTTACCTGCACTTGAATGATTATAACGGGAATCTAAATATTGCTATGTATACAGTCGACCCACTCAACTAAGAATGTAAAAACCAAGATAAACACATTCCCGTGGGTCTCCCGAGTTCCCCAACCAAAATTTGAGGCAAATCGGTCTATGTGTTCCTGAGTTATAATCGGACAAACAAACAAACAGACAAACAGAGATTACAACTTCATATATATATATAGATAAAGTACTTGTTTTTACTTTACTTTTTGAAGAGAAATAGCAAAAATTATCTTAGATTTTTACATGAGATTTTATAAACATAAAGTATCCAATGTCATAATTTCCACTTTATTGACAGATTTTAGTGGTTGTATCGATAGTCAAGCTATTTATCCTTGTGGTTTTAAACTTATTCTTTTAATTTTATTAAAACTACATATTTATATTTCTGAATCTAATAAATTTTTTACAATTTTTGTTCCAAGATGCTTTAACGATTATAGCACATTTATAAATTTGAATTATTCATTGTATTGGGATTTATGTTTCATCTTTGAGTTTGCGGATTGTATTTATTTAAATAAAAATGCAGTTGTCTTCCGCCGTATAGTTTTTATCCTAGATAGAATGAATTAACAAGCATTATGTTCCGGTTCTGGAGAACCCAAGGACATATTCAGCTGTAGAGGGAGAGTATGCTTGTGGTTAGTTCTACCAGCTCGCTGATTTCCTTCTAATACCCCGCGGTTAGTTCTACCAGCCCGCTGATTACCTTCTATATACCCCGCGGTTAGTTCTACCAGCTCGCTGATTACCTTCTAGTACCCCCCGGTTAGTTCTACCAGCCTGCTGATTTCCTTCTAATATCCCGCGGTTAGTTCTACCAGCCCGCTGATTACCTTCTAGTACCCCGCAGTTAGTTCTACTAGCTCGCTGATTACCTTCTAGTACCCCGCGGTTAATTCTACCAGCTCGCTGATTTCCTTCTAGTACCCCGCAATTAGTTCTACCAGTTTGCTTATTTCCTTCTAGTACCCCGCGGTTAGTTTTACCAGCTCGCTGTTTACCTTTTACTACCCCGTGGTTAGTTCTACCAGCTCGCTGATTACCTTCTAATACCCCATGATTAATTCTACCAGCTCGCTGATCTCCTTCTAGTACCCTGCAGTTAGTTCTACCAGCTTGCTGATTTCCTTCTAGTTCCCCGCGGTTAGTTCTACCAGCTTGCTGATTACCTTCTAGTACCCCGCGGTTAGTTCTACCAGCTCGCTGATTTCCTTCTAGTACCCCGCGGTTAGTTCTTCCAGCTTGCTTATTTCCTTCCAGTAGCCTGCGGTTAGTTCTAACAGCTAGCTGATTTCCTTCTAGTACCCCGCGGTTAGTTCTACCAGCTCGCTGATTTCCTTCTAGTACTCCACGGTTAATTCTACCAGCTCGCTGATTTACTACTAGTACCCATGAACCGATCGGGCCCAAATTTTTTGTGGGACAGCTAGGGACCCCAGGGAAGGTTTATGAATGATTGAAATTTTAAAAATTTGTGTTTAAGAGGTTTTTAATTTTGTAAAAAAAAATTTTAATTTTTGAAAATCCGCGAATTTTTTTTTAAAAATCCGCAAAACTTTTTTCATCTTTGTTTTGAAATGTAAACAATTCGAACATGTTCCTAATTTGAATAGAAGATGGGCGCGAAGCGACCTAAAAGCCTAGAAAGAAGGGCGCGAAGCACCTTGAATTTCTAGTACTTTACATTTACCACACATTGCCAATTCCGGAAATTAAAAATTTAAGCAGAGAAAACATATAATATATAATATTTATGCTTTAAATGGTTCAAATCAAAATACACTGATTTTATTAAAAAACTTTTAAATTCTCTCAACTTGTCAAACTTTTATTTTAATGATCCATTGCACGCTAGAACATCCAGAGCTCAGCATGTCCGGAGTATATCGAATTTGAAGTGAAAAATGTTGGGCAGTTTCTGTTATATTGTAACTGAAAGGAGAAACAAGTTGTAATATATTAAAACCTGCAGAGCTATAAACTTTGATCATCAAACATAGTGTTAAAACTATCTTAAAGTTTGAAAGTTTAAATTGATTGGTTAGCTATAGTAAGATATAGATATCTTGAACGTTGTTAACGAATTTGAAAAAGTAGCCTAGGTTGTCGTCTTCCATCAACAATCAACAAACACCGAGAGAGTGCAGAGTAGAGAAAAATGTGCGGTATCATTGCGCAAGCTTCGTTCTTCATTGTGGAGTCTATTATTCATTGTGGTATAGACAAATTACAGCTAAAATAATGTTTTTTACCCTTTTGAGTTAATTTTGAAGGTCTGGAAGCCTGTCGAGCAGTGTTCCTTTTTTTCTACCATGGCGGCTCATGTCTCTCCGTCCCCCCAAAGCTGTATAGTGCAGTACAGATTGGTAAGAAATCCTTAAGGTCAACTGGATCTCTCGATCCCGGGTCCCCTCTATACAGGTAATAGTTTATAACATTAGTCGATGGTTGTGAATAAATCCGTCGGTTGTTCAACCATATTTCTTTGCATTAATCTAACCATGTTTCTACACAATTCCAATCTACGCTCTTCTACCAGACGGCTTTTTTCACTACAATCCTTTTCAGCTATGTCAAATTTAAATGTACTGTCTTAATTGGTGAACGAAAGTTACTGAACATCCATCCTATCTGTTCGTTTCACTTAAATATTTGGTCAAAATGCTTTTACAGCCGTTGGTCAATTAGTTTGGCTATACTTGTATATCTTTAAGCAATCAATTGATACACTGACCCTCTGTCCATGAGTTAGTCCCTAGGTTCAGGTTTTTTAAAATTATTCTCTTGAGCAATACTGTAATATACCAAATATACCTCCAGACACGAAATTTCATTGCTTCAATAACTATTTGAATTGCGTCTCTCATTCTAGTCTAGTTTGCAGTTCATTCCGAGTCGTTCTGTAAACCTTTCGCCACATACAGAGCGCCCCATATCATATTGAATTATTTCAACCTTTAATGCCAAAATATGCACGATTCTCAAACTTAGTATGTCTGCAAAAAGCTGTCAAAGTAACCTATACATCTTAGAAGACTTTTAAACTTTCGGATTAGCCTGAGCTGTAATTACGATTTAATATTATGAGGGACACCCCATACAGTTATAGTCTTATCTCTAAATATGTTTTTTTCAATCCCAGCTGAATTTTAAGCCCCATTAC